AGCATTGGCTCTGCAACTTGAACCATGGCTGGAGCAGGAAGGGAGGTAGCAGCAGGGCTGGAGCCTCTGCAGATGGAGATGGTGAGGGAAGGCAGAAGGTCAGAGGATGAGAGAAAGTGGCTACAGGTTGGTGCCTGGTAAGGGGGAACTAGATGGGGAAAAGTGCCGTGGCAACCTGTGGTGCCTGGGGAGCCTAGAGGTCATGGTGATGGAGGAGGGACCCTCAGGCAGGGGAGAGCTGGGGAACATGACTGGGTCTGTCCAGGCTGTTGCACACCAAGGGGAGAAGAGTGGTGCTATTTTATCTCCATCACGCACATCCTTCACGCCTCTTCCTGCCTATGGAATGCTCAGCCTGGTCAGCTCAGTGAAATGCAGCAGCACTGGCAGGAAGGAAGTGGAGGCAGCTGGAGCAGAGATAAACACTGTTTTGCTCAGTGCAGTCTGGCTTGTTTGGCCCCACCAAGAGCTCCCTGGTGCCCCACTGCCTACAAAGCCTATGGAAAGGTGCTCTTGGCTCCTGAGAACCAGAGCTGCGGAGGCAGAGAGAGGGGTGGAGGTGCAGGAGGTAGGAAGCAGGGGTGGAGAGCATCTTTGCTCCTGGGAGCAGCCTGGCAGGCAGGTAAGCTCCTCCCTTTGGTTTTCCTCCAGCTTGGACACCCGTGTGGGACAACCGGCTCTTCAGCAGGCTGAAATGCTGAAGAAGAGTCAGGTTTGCTAAATGTGGGCAGCATGGGGGATGTAGACAGGAGGCCACTGTAGATGATCCCCCTCCCCTCCTTCCAGCCCCTGCCTGGGCATTGCTACGCCAGCCGCCCTCGGCTGCAGCCTCCATCCCTCCCTGGAGAGAGGCCCCCACCACTCGTGGAGGGGGCACCGTGGTTCGCATCCCCCCCACCCCAACTTCTCTTGGGTTTATTTATTGCACGAACGTAAGTTATTTTCACGTCCTCTTTGCCATTCCGCCTCTCGGCACAGCCAGGATGTTGGTACAGAGCTGTACTTTATATTTTATATATGCAAATCACATTTTATCTTATATAGAGCAAAAAATATTTATTTTCTGACTTACAGTATGTGTCCTTACCCGACTCCTCTGTATTTTGTAGACTTTACAAATAAAGCCAGTTCTTTTTTTTTTTTTTTTTTCCACAGCTGGAGTGTGTTTGATTGTTCTTGAACTTGGGGACAGAGCTGTGTCACAATGAGACCAGGTTTTCAAGCTCCCTTTAGCTTTGCTGCAAGACATGTTCAAGAGCGTGTCTGGAAAAGATGGGCTGGGGGACAGTTCCTGACTTTTTAGGACAAACAGATTTATAATCTCTGGCAGAGCTTGGTAAGCAAGCTTTATGCTGAATGTCACCCGAAAAAAGTGCTTGCTTTCAGGAGTCTCACTGTGCTGAAACAACTTTTGCAAGGCAAAATCATTTTTTTTTTGCTAGAAAATTTCCCTCCAGGCTGCCCTCGTCAGACCAGTGCAGGAGGAGGGGCAGGTGCAATTAGGGCAGCTCTACCCAAAAACTTGGCTGCTGTGTGACCTTACTGCCTGACTTGGGAAGAGCAAGGAGGAAAGCAGGGAGCTTGTATCCGTGGGTAACAGAAGGGGAAGGAAGTGTGGCAGACATCTTACCTGGAGGTGAAGCACAACCTCCTCCCTGTAAGGAAAAGCCCCCCTTCCTTGGAGCTGAGGTAGAAGTGATGAGCATGCTCCCTGATGCCCAGCTGGGCCACATCTCAGCCTCCAAGCAGCCTGCAGTGCTCACAGGGTGTTTCTGGGTTTTACATTTCCTCTTGACACCGCAAACTGCCCCAGCCCTGCCCCTGTTCACAGAGGAAAATCCCAGAGCTGCTCTTTGCTAGACCTGTGTGAGAGGAAGCAGCTCACCTCTACTCCCAGGTTTTTGGCACATAGGTTTTACTCCTGCTAGGGGCCATCAGGTGTGTCTTGGCCTCACGCTGCTGCAGCTGCTCCTGTGTACAGAGTGTGAAGCTTTCCTCTTGAGAAGAGGACTAGGAGAAGGCAGACTGTCCCACTATGCCAGGGCCTTGCGCAACAAGCGAAAACTCACAATCAGTTCAGAGAAATCACCCAGGAAGCACCACACAGAGGCAGCTTAGGTACAATCTATATTATCTCTATTATTTTTATTTGTCATATTTGCTCATTTCTGTAGAGTATAACGTCACAAAGACCAAAATAGAGAGAGCGGCTTGTCGCTGAGCTCACATCAGTTAAACACAATAGGTACAAAACTAGGTGACTCTGTCTTATTTATCATACATTTTTTTTCAGTTGTTTATATACAAAGAACTACTCTATATGGAAAAATAAGAAACAAATCCCATGGGTATGTTACATGGTAAACAAGAAGGAAGGAAGGAAGGAAAGGGAAGCAGGTGAGGGAGAGCAGCTCCAAGGGCCTACTCCAGGAACTAACATGTTTGTTGGGGCCCTGGGCTACTGCAAGCAGACCTGCAAGACCTTGGTCTCAAGCTCTGGGTCTTACGTTTGTTCCTCCAAACCAGAGTGGCATCGGAGCCAGTCCTTGCTCTGGGTCTTACCTGTTGTGAGGGAGTGCAGGAAGCTCAGATATGATTTTGTGTGGTGTTAAAAATATATATATATATAAAAATTATAATGCATGGCATCTGGCTGTTGTTTGGATGCTAGTTCTTCATCAGGCTTTTCCAAAGGCAGCTAGTGCAAAAGGGTTATTTATACTTTAAACCACTACATACAGGAAGCTTTGAGAATATCCAGATCCTCTGCACAGTATATATATATGCATATATATATGCAGCATACATTCAAAGTAATTTTAAGAAAATGCTTCCCCAAGCTTGGATCATCTTCAAGCTCAACAGGGCAAGCCCAAAGGTTTCAGATCTTGGCCACCCAACACAACAAAGGCTGGGGAGAGTCACCAGTTAAATGACACTGGGACATCATCAAGACCTGCAAATGCAAAGGGGGAGGAAGGGATCATATCCCATGCTCCACTTTCCTCAGAGAGAGAGGGACACACCTCATGCTGAAGGATTATTAATCAAAGCCATGGAAGATGGAAGGAAAGCTCAATCTTCAGCCCTGCCTTCCAGGAGGCTGAGGAAAAGGAGTTTTACACCAAGCCCACACAAAGCCTGGCAGATAGCAATTGCATGTCCATTTAAGCAGCGACAGGTTTTTGAAAAGCAGTCAGTAACTGCATGACATTGCAGGATGTGTACAAATGGGGAATTACAGCAGCAGAGAAGCTGTTGGATCCACTGACCCTGCCTCCAACTCTCTGGAGAGAGCCCTGTTGCTCCCCCCTGCTTCGTCATCCCCCTAGAAAGGTAAGTATGGAAAAAGACACTGTCCTAAAGCCTTACTCTATCTTACCCTCACAGCAGGGAGCAAATCTGCCTCTGTTCAAACCCTTTTCCCCCTGCTCCTGACCACATGCTTCTGGCAGGGGCGCCGACGAAACAAGGTGCTCTTCACTCAGTCACTTCCAAAAACGTGAATGCACAAGCACAGAGCTTGGGATACAAGAGGAAAGGCAAAGGCCAGGCAGTAAAACAGACCCCAGCGCTCCTAGCAGAGCAATGAGGGACAATCTGGAAACACAAAGGTCTGCTGATGGCAGGGTAGGCATAAAGCAGGAGAGGAATAGAGAAACTTCAGCCAAGAGGAACACAGCAGCTTGCTCTGACCTCTCCAATCTGCTTCTTGCTTGCTAGGAGCATTTGACCTATGGCCCTTGAGTGGGCTCCCACCACCTCCCCTCAACAATCTGAAGCAAGCAAGAGGCATTTCATGGTCCCCAGACAGATCTACAGAGGGGTCATTTTAATTTCAGCTCCACTAAATACCATGCGGTCAATCCAAAATCCAACAAAAGAAAGGGAAAGCTTCTTTTCCCACTCCCATAGCTGCTGGCTCCACCCTTGATACCAGGACCTGTGATATGTGCAGCAGCAGCAGCAACAACTGCCTAGGAAACTAAGAGGGACAATTTTAACCAGCCAGGTCGGGTCAGGTTTCAAGTCTGCTCGGGTTAGGCCCAGAACACCTATGGAGATAAAAAAAGCAAAGGAGGAGTGTGCAACATCCCTTCCTGAATATTCCAGCCTAAGGGCAAAAACTTGTGCAGCTCATAGGGAAAGTCAAAGTCAGCGATGAAAACCAGAGGGAGTGATCTGTGAGACACCAGGACCTGCTCTGGCAGCTACCTGGTGCAATCCACACCTTTAAGAGAGGCAGCTACATTGCTGGGGGACAGGAAACAGGAAGAAAAAAACACTTTAGAGTTTACATATCTTCCTTGTCCAAAGAGGGATGAAAGGGCCAGAGCTTTACAAACTTCCACCACCTATCATGGCCAGTCCTCAGTCTTCTTAGCAGGAGACAGACCCTCCTGGGAGGCTTCTCACCACAAGAATGTAGGCAAAATGGGATGCTTGGATACCTGGTGATTAGAAAACCCCACCCTTGTGAGACAGTGATTCCAGCCCTGCTGAGCTTCAACAAGCACCAGCTTTGATGGGGAGCAGGGGGGATGCAGGGAGGGAAGGAACAGGAAGAAAGTCCTGCCTTTTTCCCCTTTACTCACTCAAGTTCAGGACCGCACAACCAGGTGCTTAGGAGGTTTGGGGAGATATTCCTGACTAAATGTTCAAGGCAATGGCTATAGAGACACCAATCTCTGGTCTGGTCCTCAAGAATCATGGCATCCTAATCCCATTTCCCAAGGATCAGAGACATGTTAGTACCAAGGTGCTGGGGGATAAAACTGTGCCTACACCAACCTCAGGAAGAGGAATACAAAGCAGTCAGCTTGTTCAGCTGGAGAAAAAAAACAACCAACCAACAATATTTTTGGCCACAACTCCAGGCTCTGGTCAGTCATGCTCCACACCAAGCTAGGCAGGCATGGGAGGCTAGAGCCCCAAACCCTGGAGCTCTGCTTCAATGAATTCCAGTCGATTGTTGCTGCAAGAAATGGGCTTGAGAATGGAGTCCTGGCCACTCCCCCACCTCCACACTGCTCCTTGTGTCCATACCCACAAGAGCTAATGGGAAGTGCCCACTTCTGCAATCTGCACTCTCTAGGAAGTGATATGACTTGCATGTTTCTGCTTCAATAAATTAAAAAAATTAAAAAATAAAACCCCAACCAAGAAAGGAAAATGACAGCCTGTGCTGGCAGGTCCCCCTCCTAGAATTCATCGTCGGAGCTCAGCAAGAGGGTCTTCTCGTTGTCGCGGGTGCCCGAGCAGCTGTGGGAGCGCGAGATGATGTGGCTGCCGTTGCGCCAGGGGGGACCGTGCTCCAGTGTCGACTGCTGGGTGTACTGCTGGTAGGCTGGGGAGAAGTTGTGGATCGCATCCTGGACAATGTCGTGGGGGTTCATGGTCTCCTTGAGGCTGCTGGAGATGCTCTTCATGGGAGCGCAGCGACCTGTTGGTGTAAGATGGGAAGGGAGAAGTGAAGAATACCGCTGCCTTCCCACACACCCCTTAAAACAAAGGTAAGGAGAACAGGGAACATGCACTCCTAGATCCCACAGAAGTTACTCTACAGACTTCCTTAAGCAGCTGCTGGAGAAATGCCACACAAATGGTGCCAAGTTTTACCAGTAGTGCTCCTAAATCCAGCCACTGATAGCCAAGTGAATCCACCTCAGCATCAAATGGGAGACATGCCATGAGAATGGGACATAGCCACAGTGACAACCTTGGCTACACACTACCTGTGCTGGCTTGGGTATGCAACAGACAGTCAGGTAGGCAGGTGCTCCTGTAAATTGTTTCAGAAGACAAAAACTGAGGACATTCTAAAAATAGAGAAGAAATGGCATTTGCCATTCTCACTGGAAATCAGACTGACAGGCGATACTGAAGTGCCCACAGGAAGGAGAACCCAGAAGTGGAAAGCAGTGCAAAGGAGAGGAACAAGCAGTGCTAGAGGCAGAACCACCTTCTGGGTAGAGATTGTCACAGTGATATTGTGAAGGAAGCAACAGTTGGAGACTGTCCCACCCAATTGCTGAGCACAAAGGAAGGCTGTGTGTCCTAGTAGCTGCCATTTCTCATGGTTTCTAGATCCCGTTTCCAGCACGGACTTCTGGCTCCGTTCAGTCCTGGGGATGAGCTCCCCAAAAGACAGAAAGCACGCTGAACATCTGCAGCAATTATGTCACTGCCCACGGGGCTGTTCTCTAACTTAGGATCCAGAGAACCCTAAAGCAGCTGTGTGAGGCAGTCAAGTTACAGACCCACAAGGAAGGGGGAACAAGGGACAGAGCACACAGTAGGCAGGCTGGGAATTAGGACAGAACAGCAACCCCAGTTAAAAAACAAGAGACAAACACACAGAGCATGCTGTACCTACCATATGGCCCATAGGATGGAACAGCTGCATCGGGGACCAGTGGTCAAAGCAAGGGTGAGAGAAAAGGGAGAGGAGAGAGAGACAGAGAAAGAAAGAGAGGAAGTAACAAGAACTGAGAAGACCCGCCACCAAAACATACCCCACTCTACTGGCCAGCAGTTTACCCTTTCATCACCCACAGATCTCATCTCCCCCAGCTGTGGCCACTGTCCTTCCAAACCCTCTGGTGCTAGCTGAGATGGAGGGATCATCTACACAAACCCTGCCCAAGGGCTGCTGTCTTCCCATGCCTCAGCACAGACTCTCCCAGGAGGAAGGAACCTCTTTATTTGCAGAACAATGAATGTACTTGCATAGTCTGGGCATGAGAACCCCCTTTTCCTAGAGATAACATTCACCTCCCTCTTCCCTGGAATAAGACTTCTAGCAGCCCAGCCCTCACAAAGTTGTTACAGGAACATCCTCCTCCTCCAGGCCAAACATATTGCCAAAGCACAGCCTCATCTTCCTGAGCCAGATTCAAAACAGAGCCTGTTTCAGGCCCTGTCCCTCCTGTCTTCAGTCTGTTGCACAATCTGGAGCAATGGAGTTCCCCTCTGGGGAGACAGGAGGAAGGACAAACCCACTCTACCAAAAGGATGCAACTTCTTGAAGCCCTCAGGTCTGCAACAAGCTGTCGTGGGTGGCATACTGAGGAACTGAAAAGGGAACAATGCAAATCAGGCAAGGTTTCTGCCCTGCAGAGCTGTTGCACAATTCAGACACCACAGAGGAGGGGATGCAACATTTTCCAAGCCTTCAGGTTGGGAGTCATATCAGTGCGTTGACTGCCAGAGGGACCAGTCTCCACCCAGTCTGGCTACCAAACAGACAGGCCATACGCACTGGCATATTTCCTACCTTGGGCATCAAGTCTCTTGTCCACATACACCTTGTAGGTGAAGGCATGGCGCAGGGCGATGGCTGCAAAGAACATCTCCACGCAAATGATGAAGTCCTGATACCCAGCAGCTACTGTGCCTTCACCCACAGACACACTGGCAGAGTGGATTTTGGGGATGGCACCACACTTTTCCAAGATGGCCAACAGCATCCCTAAACAAAGCAACGAGCTCATGTAAATGTGGAGAAAACATGACCACATACTAACTGTAAGGAATGGAAATAGCTGTGTGTGCTGTGTGTCCTAGAAGCAAACCTGTTCAACGCAGGAGCTACAAACAAAGCGGGCTAGATATTCCCATCTACACTCACCTGTACAACATAGAAAAGAGGAATAAATGAGACAAATGTGTTCAAGCAAATAATGTTCAAACACTGACCCTCTTTTATTCTCAACTGATGCATAATTTGTGGAACTAGCTGCTGTGGGATTTAAGTCCAAAAGGGTAAGAAGCAGTCAGATATTTCAGTGAGCACTTCTCTCAGCTCAGCACTTCTACTAGCTAGAGCAAAAATTGAAGTATTAGAACTTCTGTTTTAAGCAGGAAGTGATTTTGATGCAACGTTCCAAGAAAGATTTTGCTCCCTGTCTATAGCCAGGTGGCTGAAGTATCGCAGAGAAGGCAGAAAACATGTGACCAGATGGCTTGAGAAGATAAACTAGACAGCCTATTAGTTCGCCTGTAGACAGGGAGGATGGGCCATACTCCAACAGCCTAAATTCCACCTAAGTTCCTACTCAACTAGTCTTTGAAGTGCAGCTCAGTAAACTTAAGTAGGGCATTGAACTGGGAAATGCTCAGAGCCAATTAGTAAGAAGCACTAAGCTTAGGTGGAAATTCAGCTTTCTGAGTGTGCCTCTGCATCACATGTAGGTATCCTGAATGTCCTTCCTCTGACTCTGTGGCAGCACACGCTGCATTCAGTCAGCTTGCTGCTTCACATGAATCACAGACACACCATTACAGTTTTATTTGTAAAGCACTAAAAAAAAAAAGGTACTAAAAATTTTAGATGTGACACCTTAATCAGTGAAATGGCAGCATGCAGATAAAATGTTGGCAGTTTGTGCTTTATGATTGTTCCAGGAATGCAAATAGCTCTTCATGCAAATAGCTGATTTTGCCAGGCAGATGTGTGTGTGTGCCCATGCACACACACAGTGACAGTGAGGATTCAGGAGCATAGAAACAAAGATGAAAATGGGCAGAAAAAGCTTCCCAGAGAAAATCAATGACACACTATGAAAAAAAATTTATAATAACAATACAGAAGGACATTCTGGCTGTTAGTCGTTATCTGCTCTATCAACTCTAGCATTTGAGTCCCTGCAGAGAGCTCTTTGTGCCTACCAAGGCAAGGGAAAAGCAGCTCACCTTGCCAGAAGGACAGGAAGATGACAGACTTCACCATGAAGAACTTGAGGACTGGGCTATAGGGACTGAGTAGCTCACGTGTGGCAAAGTAGAAAAGGAAGAGGGCGTACAGTGCCAGGCTGACGGAGATGTTGTAGATGATCGTCACATAGAGGTAGCCACTGGTTACACTGAAAAGAGAAGACATGTGAATGCCTGAAATTTCAGCATAATCTTTTCCCCTTGCTGCTGTCACTGGGAAGTTCTAAGACTCCATTTCCTTCCTGCCTCCCTGTCCCATTCCCTCCCCTAAAATGAGGTAGAAAAATCCTGAAACCAACAGGTTTATCCCTGCCCTCTTTTCTCACATGCATATTCAGCCTGTGTTGTCCCCCTGTTTTTTTCCATGGCCCAGCACACACACAGACCATAAGCACAGCTGGGCAGAGAAGGGGCAGCCAAGACATGCATGCTAGACAAACAAACTTACTCAAAGTCACCGTCCTGGTACTTGCCGAAGGCCTGAAGGATGACTGTGCTGATCTCCATGAGGGGCTTCACCACACAGAACTGCAGGGTAGCCTGCAGGAATGAGAGAGGAGGAATGAGAAGACAGGAGATCCAAGAGGATGAGTACCCCAACAATCAGTATGACAGTGTCTCCACCAGAACAGCACAGCAACCTGACATGACCCAGCCCCAACACAGTCTGACCCCATTGCTTGCTAACCAAATGTGTTTGAGGACTGTAGCACCCAACAGGAAATAACAGGAGATTCAGAAGAAATATGTGTGCTATTTCTATGTCCAGGATGGAAAGAAAAGCCTCTATCTAGGTTGCTTCTGGGAACTGCTCAGCTACTGTTTTCTAGAGGTTTCTTTCATAGGCTGTGTTGCAGCACATTTATGCATGGTAATGGCCTGAGAACAAAAAATTCCCACACTGTGCTTTGGTACAGACACTGCAAGTTTAGCAAAGGAATACCAGCAAGGGAAGAAAACTCCAATCTACACTTGCCATAAAGGTAGGCAAGATGGTCCCCTGGACAGGAGGGGAACCCAGCTCTCTGAGGAGGAACTTTTACAGCTGCCACCAAGTTACAGCATTTTGCATACACACCAGTGTGTGCTGTCAGAAATTAAGTGCTATTCAGTTGTCACCCTCATGACCTTTACTGTATCTCCCCAAAGGCTTCAGAGAAATCAGGATCAGCTCTATCCATTCTGCCAATAGAAATCACTGCTGCTTTTGGGATTCCTCCTCTCTCAAAGCAATCCCAAGCTTCACCTTTCTGGAGACATTGAACTCCAAGGTTCTAAGACAGCAGAGGGTTGTGACCCTAGAAATGTCACCCATGTCTCCTTGAAGGAAGCTGGAAAAGACTGGGCAGGTGTTGACCTGCACACATGTAGGGAGGGCTGTGTATGGAAAGAAGGCAAAACCAGACAGGAATAATTGCTTTGGATACAATTTGTTAGTGGTCATAAGACTTCAAGGAGATTAAAAACCCCAGCACATGCCAGTTAGTGAGTCACTGTAAATATGTGAACTGGAAAAGGTCAGGCTAATTCGTAAACAACCCTGTCCTCTGAGCTTCCCCTCCTTCAAATCTGGGGATGTTTTAACCATTTCCCTGCAATCCAAACCACAGACTATTTTTAGCTGCTTCCCTAGAAGATGCTACAGCATACGAGAAGCACATGGATGTTGTGTGATCCATCTATGAGAGTCACCAGACACAGGTCCAGCAAAGAATCTTAATCAAGACATCTTTATGGAAACAAACTGGCCAGATTTTACACAGCAGCCAGTAGCACACCAGCCAGCTGCTGGAAGGATGCAGGCAATGCAGGCAGACTGACTGACCCACAGCAAGCACCTGCCTGAGAACAGCTTGGGGTGGGAGTGAAGATGGAAAGAAGGAATGGTTATAACACAAGAGATTCCTTCAGTATGAAAGGGACTAGAAAGAGCAGAAAACAAGCAGGTGGTGGTAGTGGCAATAGGAGTGCTGGATATGCTAAGACTAGAGGAAACTGGCTCAAGTTGTGCCAGGGGAGGTTTAGATTAGATATCAGGAAAAAAAAAATACTGAAAGAGTAATTAAGCACTGGAATAGGCTGTCCAGGGAGGTGGTTGAGTCTCCATCCCTGGAGGTGTTAAAGAGACGTGTAGATGTGGTGTTTGGGAACATGGTTTAAACACTGAACTTGGCAGAGTTAGGCTTGTTGGACTTGGTTGGACTCTACGATCTTAAAGGTCTTTTCCAAACAGAATGATTCTGTGATTCTGGGAACTGATAAAATCGGCATGGTGCTTCTTCCAGCACATTCTTTTTCCTTATCATCACAATGGTGGATACCACATAGGACAGTAACTCTGTTGTCCTTTCGCACCAGCCTTCCCCGGAATTTGCCTTGAAAGGTCTTACTCGGCAATCCTAGAGTACCAGGAAGTGAGTCTTGGTGTCAAAGACTTCTCACTGAGGCAACATTTAAGCTTGAGCCAAGAAGGATGGAAATATTTAAATATCCCTTTGCAAGACACCTCCCTCACAGCCTACACAGCAGACTTAGCAGATGGCAAAGGGCAGGCCTGACTAGAAGAACTGCTGCCAGATAGTGGCAAAAAAAAAGCAAAATATTCACCAAAGCCAGTGTTATCAAATGAGCTGAGGATTTGTGGAAGCCAGCAGAACTTCTTCCCCCCACTCCCTCAAAAAGTGCTTCTAGTCTTCATTGCTGTGAAAAACTTTCCAAACACAGCCAGGTGTGACCTATGTGGAGATAACTGCCAGATGCCATGGGATGTGAGAAACAAGAGGTCTAAGGGAAATTATTTCTCCAGTACTCATTCACCTTGATGGGTGTTACATCTCCTTATAACGTACTCAAAGCTAAAAGTTCAGGAGCAAAAAGAGTAAGTAATGCAACTAATCAAACAGTGTAGAAATGAAGCCCAAGAGAAACAGGCAAAGCAGCACACTGGGAGCAGATTAGTAAATAAAGTATGGGGAAAGGAAACAGGAAAGCCATGAGGACAGAATATGGGACAAACAAGACAGAGAAAACAAATATATGGTCCTTCAAAAAAGGCCAATTGTGCTGCAGAGATTAACACTGGATATTACTATGAGGCTGCATTGTACCTTGATGTTCCTGCATGTTGCTAAAACACAGAAGATAGGTTATGAAGTGGAAGAGAAGCCAGTGAGGATTTCTAGACCCAGTGACTAGAATTACAATGACCTGAGCCGTTTCAAAGAACCAGACCTGCTTCACACTGTCTCCAGAGAAACCTCATGTGTTCATTTTAGCAAGTGAGCAAAGCCTGGAAACTCACCTTCTGTTTAAGGGCAGCCACAGGTGACTGACCCATGGTGAGCAGACAAAGGCTGTATCAGGGTTTAGATCTCCCCCATTCCTCCTCCTCAACATACCCCATTCAGCACAGACAGACACCCATGGTGAGCAATACTCAGTTCCTCCTACAAAGCCTTGTGTCATGCTTAACCTCCACCCCCTCCTCAGCTCCAAACCAGAACAGCTCCTGGGAATTCATGAGGCTGTTACGCAACTGTGGGGTGTCTGCAACACAACACAGCCATCAATTTCTTAAAGTTGGGATCTCTGCAATCCAGAAAAGGAAGGGGAAATCAGAATTTCTTCCCAGGGCAAACATCAGATCCAGGAGATAAACTGGCTCTTCTGCTAAGGTCTCCTTGAGGTGGGGTTGAGTATACAACATTAAGATCATTCAAAACAAACCAACCAAGCAACCAACCCCAAAACACCCTCTCTTCTCAGCAGTCTGTGGGCCTCTCTCTCACTTCATTCACTTCTGGAGGATGGCACAGTTCCCCCAGCCCATACCTGTTTGCAGAACCTCAGGAATCCAATCGAATAGGTCTTTCCCCACAGGCAGCAAGTCCCATATACACAGCTGGACCTGAAAGAGCCAACATAAGGTGACAGGGTTCAGAAGCAAGATTTGGGCTAGAGTGCAAGATTCCTACCCTCTCTGTCTACCTCTCTGTAAGTAAAATTGCAGGACTGGTGCTTTCTCCAACCATTATTACAGTTACAGCCATACCCTCTTTCAGAAATGTGTTTTAAACAACAGCCTGACTCCACACTCTAATCTTTTTTAATTTTCTTTAACTGAGTAGCATGGTGAGAAACACAGATCCCCGCAAAAGCACACACCACCAACTGAAGACAGAAAAGATTTAAAGGAGAAGGGAATAAGAAAAGAAACAAAAGAGTAGGCAGGTGTCCAAAAAGCTGTGAATCAATCCAGCTTGCCTAAGAGGATGTGATCAGCCTGATGTGTCTCAGAGCAGGGTACCAGTAAACCATCACCACCCATGCTGTTCAGTCCCAACAGACATTTGCCACCTGACATAGATTTTTAAAGGCAAAAATAGAGGCATGGATGATGGGCACAGAAGGAAGAGAGTGTCAAGCTGTACACACAATAAATACTCACTCAATTGGTTTCCCTCTGATCTCAGACATGATGGAGCTCTCCCCTCCCAAGTACTCATAGCAGAGGCTGAGAAAGTTGTATATTACAAAGGCTGCAAAGACATTAATCAGAGCAAAGTGACAACCAACTTCAAAACAGGTGCAAGGACCAAGAGTACAGGCAACAGGCCGAACACCGGCAGGGACTGCTTATGCAGCACTTTCTTCTTCAAAGCACTCCAGATTATTTTCACTGCATTTATCACCCTACCTCAGCATTCACAAGACTATCTGAACTGGAGTTTGGCCAAGGTCCCCAGCCAGCTCCGTGACTCATGCCAAAAGGGTCACAGGACCATTTAAAACTGTGGTCAGTCCCTGTTTTCCTTGGCATCTGTAAGATGCCATTCTTTACAGGGTTCCTGTGCATTATTCCAGGACATTACACTGGTACTAAATAATTTGGAAAAATTATCTCTGATCCATCAACCATATCATATCTTCTGTATTTAACCTCTTAGGTCATGAACAGTTTCTCTCTCCCAGGTCACCAGATGATAAACATAAGAGTTGGAGAAAAAGAGGGTTTAAACCAATCAGTGAATCTCTGTTTAAACATCTAGAGAAGATTTTTGAAAAACAGTCTCTGTCCTTCCTTAGAAAGCTGAAGTTTCCTGCGTATGGAATAACCTTCTCCTGGGGCTACCTCTTTTCTGCCTTCCCCAGCAACCTGGTACAGATGAGGAAGAGGCTTCTCAGACTCACGGCTAATTCTCTACAAGGCTGTTTTCCTCAGACATATAAACTGAGATGGAGACACTGTGGGGAGGGCTCTCACCATAACTACAGACACGTTCTCTTCTCATGGGATCCAAACCCACTTAATCATGCATGGAGTAAGCCTGTATGTGCTGTCTGTGTCTCTCTTGACTTGTTATAATCACTGTTGAACCCTTTCAGGTCAAGGACTGTACTCCCCTAAGTTTGCCACATGCAGCACTGGGACAAAGGGACAGAACAAGTGACTCTTCTTTCAACATTATTTTCTATGATAGCCTGTTCCTGGACATTCCCTGGGACACACCAACACCCAAATCTTAGCTTTGGCCCCCAGCATTGACGTAATACAAAGAGAAAATGATTCAGGATGGAAACATATATCTTGGGGAACTCTGGAATAAGAACAAAGGCCTAATAATGTACAGTGTTGAGAAGGTGACTTCACCAAGCAGCCAGTTATTAGACCTGAGGTCAATTTTCCCATATGGATGGACTTCCAAAGTCAGAGAGAAACATCAACTTTAATTCTTCTACAAGCATCCAAACTATGCACTGGAAAAGAGTTACTCAACACTCCCCGAAACACTCACAGTCTCAGAACATTATATTTATGGCTTGTAGACGTGCCTAACTGGCAATAATGCTACAGCACATAAAAGCTAGTTGTATACCTGCTTCTATGTATGTAATTGGGATATTGTTGTTCCATCTGTAATCCTTGCTATTGAACATAGTTAAGTATGTTCACACAGCAATGATTTTGCAAAAGCCTTAATTAGGAGAGAAAACACCAATCATGGAAAACTTATTTAAATAACTGTGGTAACCCTTTTGCCTGCAATTTTCCTGCAACTTAGCTGACAGCTCCCAACTCCCAGAGGAAAAAAAGCTGAGCTTTTCCTATTGTACTCCAGTGACCCCTGCCCTCTGATGTGGTCATTACAATACCAGCTGCCCATTCCACAGGCACTCGTGAAGAGATGACATCAGAGGAATTAAAAAAAAAAAAAAAAAAAAGAGGGAAATATCTGCCCCTCCATCCTCAAAACAAATGAGTGCTAACTATGAAAGCTCACCACACTAGCAAAAAATCCCTCTTCTCCCATTTCTGATCCACATTCATCGGATGGTGCTCATGCCAGCATAACAAAAAAAAAAAAAAAAAGCAACTTGTTAGTGTTACTGACACCCAGGTTTGTACAGAAGCAGTCATGTGAAAGAGCAACATCAAAATATGCTCACCAGAATGCACACTATGAAATGTTGCCCATAAATGACCCAAGACAGCTTTCAAAATGTATAGAGAGGGTCTTCCTCCTTCTGTTCCCTAACAGAGTTCCCCCCTCTTGGCAACCTAACATCTTTCCAATAGTGAAATTACAAGGTGGATGGCAAAGAAAGGCAGAGAACAAAAACGCTGTTTCAAAGTAGTCCCCAGAAAAAGCAAGGGAGAGGATCTACTGACCAAAAGTGCTTACACCTCCACCTGCAGTCTTTTTGTGCAGCCCAACGTGCTGAGGTGATCTCTGTAGCACAGGCTGCCTCCTGAGCAGACACTCAGATGCTTGCAAGCTCCCTGAGTGAGAGAGGCAGATGGACACTGGCTGTTGCTAGGAGAGGAGTTTTGCAGAGCAGCAGGCTTCCTGCTAGACCTACACACACATGCAGGGCAGGGAAGGAGGGAAGAAAAAACCTCAGGCTCAAACAATGATGCCTTCTGAATCACGTGTGAGTGTTTGCCATCTGCTGCTGCATTTCAGAGCATTGTTGTGGATGTGAAGGAGGGCCTGCTGGTCCCTTCTGCTGATTAACTTGTTCACAGGGCCAGGGGCACCTCTCTGCAATGCTGATCTCGCCAAAACAACTGCACCAGCGAGTTGTGATTTAATTAGGTATGGTGACAAATTGTCCTCAAAAACACACTGCTAGGTAAGAAGACTCCTTTCTGGATGAGATCAGGAGGGAAGTTTAGATAGCATTTATTGGAGAGTAACCCTCACAGAAAATGCTAGTGGTATCATCTGCCGCAGATAAGAAAAACTGAAGCAATTGGTAACTCCTCCTGACCATGGCACCCTGTCTCCTGCAGGACTCCAAAGCATTTTACACCTCATCAACACCAGGATGCAGCAGCTGTGCTACCCTGCATGATCACTCAAGTGGCCACTGGATGGGACCAGAAGAATACATCATTAACAAACTGCACCAAGAAAACTGGACAAAGCAAGAGTTTGGCTGCTAAGTAAGTGCTGTTCCAAGAACCAGGAGCTAACCAGTATCTCATTTAAACACACAGCTAGAATTAGATTTTTGGCTTCACACCTTCCTGAAACAAGGGACTCAAGAAAATCAAACTTCTCCTCTACAGAACATCACAGGGAAAGCTCACCCCACATTGTCATGTTCAGAGACTAGTGAGGGAGAGGGTCAGGTTGGATGGGGCTTTCAGCAACCTCATCTAGTAACTGATGTTCCGGCCCACAGCAGGGGCATTGCACTAGATCATCTTTAGAGGTCCTTCCTGACCCAAACCATCACAAGATTCCATGATTTTCAGTCACTGACCATGCCATGGTGATCCAGCGAGGCACACCTTAAAACTCCGTCCCAGCAGGTGACAGCGATGCTCCCTCCAGGTGCCCAACCAGAAGCAAAAGTTCTTCCCACCTCCCTCACTTTCAGCCTGACCCCTCTTACCTTCATAGCAGTCCCGCACTGTGCCAAAGTAAACATAGTACTGGTCATTGGTGAAGAACAGGAGACTGAGCCACGAGTCAAAGGCGTAAATGGGCACGATGAAGAGGATCCGAACAATGTAGCGCTGCTCGTTTGGGCAGCTATAGCAGCGAAGGTGCATGTAGATCTGAGAGGAGGGAGAGGGGAGACCAGGATCAGTGGTATATGGAACAGAGAGGAGAAAGTGGAACCCTGGAGTCGACCGGGCCAGGAAACACAAACTCCGTGAGTCATCTCTTGATGGCCTCCAGCAGCCTCAAGATGATGGACTTAAACAAAGAAATCACTGCTATCATAGGGCATTGATACAGAATCCCTGAGCTTGCAGCGTCATGGGAAGGAGAGAAAAAGGAAGTGGAAGCATTTCTAAACTAGTTTCTCTCAGGGAATTAACTTACTGTTATTATCACAGCCACTTTGCCCATATTCTTTTTTTTAATACTTTTTTTTCCTAATTAGCAATCCCATATTGCTGCTATCCTCTTTTAAGTGCTTAAGATTCACTACACAGCAGGCTGCTTTTCTCTGAAGAAGGAAAGGGCACACATACTCATTATAAACAGTCTCACTCTCTTGACAGTTTTGGATGCTCTCAAAACTTTCACCTGAAACAACCTACAGGGGCTCTCACAGCACTGCCAAGAGCTGCTAAGCCACAGCCTGTCTGCTCAAAAAGTGCCAATCTCTACATCAGTGACAGCAAGGCTATGAAGCATCAGCCATGAAGGGAGCACTGAGCTCACACAGGGTGCTCAAAAGCCACGTGGCTTCTTTTGTTCCACTGTCTGCACACATGCCAATCCCCTTAAGTCACTGACTGAGGGGACTGTAGTGTCCCCACCCTGCCTACTCACACTGCTCACAGTTTGTTAGCCATCATTAAATCCCACACCTAAGATGCTTTTTCACAGAATACCCACCTCCTGGGGAAGGTATTGACCACAAGAATACTCTGAAGATGAGCACCACTCCTGCAATGGCCTAATAACACAGCCAGAGCTTTGGCATGAATCATTGAATGCCAGGTTGGAAGGGACCTCAAGGATCAGCTGGTGCAACCTTTTTAGGTAATACTATATACATCATATGAGATGGCTCAGCACCCTTTCAAGCTGAAACTTAAAACTACCAAATGTGAGGGAGTCTACCACTTCCCTGGGGGGACTACTCCAATGTTTGATTGTCCTCATAGTGAAAAATTTACCTCTTGTGTCCAATCGGAACCTCCCCAGGAGCAACTTGTGCCCATTACCCCTTATTTTTTCCATGTGACTCCTTGTAAATAGGGAGTCTCCATCTTCTTGGTAGCCATCCTTTAAGTACTGAAGCATTGTAATAAGGTCTCCCTAAAGTCTTATTTTCTCAAGGGTGAACAAACCCAGTTTTCTCAACCTCTCCTTCAGGTCCTTCAGTCCTCTGATCATCCTTGTGGCCCTTCTCTGGACCCTCTCTGTCCACATCCTTTTTGCAGAGCCGAGACCAAAACTGAACGCAATACTTCATGACTTGTGGGTACGCTCTGCTGGGCACAGAGTCAGCAGAGGGCACCTTCTTCAGAGGCAAGGCAACTCTCACTGAGCTGCTTAATAACACCTAGTTTGTTACACATGTGCCTCACAACTGACCGATTTTGCTGCCTGAAGAGGCACAAGCATTACTCTGAAGCTTCACCCTGCATCTAGGGGTGCTGTGAGGATTCTCCAAGGTCTAACAAAGCACACATTGACGCTCTCACTTTTCCCTTGTAAGGTGGAGAGGGTTGTCTCTCCCCAGCTGTCTGTTGCTCATCTCTCTCTGCCTCTTGGCCAGATCTGGTCAAAATCGACTGAAGGGCTCAAAATAATTCTGTTTCCTCTCCCAATCCCACAAGAAGCTCACAAAAAGCCTCATTTCCTGAGGAGAACAGGTTGAAAATAAACTAACAAACCATAGGGATATTTTTTCCTTGTGACAATCCCAGTGACACACCTCACCCAGCACAGGGACAGCTGACACTGGAGTTCAGATGACTCTAAGCTTTGCCCTTGGGATGTCACAAGAGCCCTGCAATCCATGCGCCTACAAGAGCACAGGAACTGCTGCCTTGTAACAGGACAACAGCGTGTTTCAATCAACAGTGTCTCTCTGGCACTGACCTCCAGTCTTTGGAGAAGGGCATTAATGCCTAACTGTGCAATGCTACACTGCAGAGGAAAGATTTCTTCCTACCCTCAGTGGGCAATAAACTTGTGCTCAGAAACAGGAGGATTCATGGCACTTGTAATTGTTACCCAAGCTAGTGAAACTGCAGGTGACTAATCCATTTTTTTAACTTCACTAGCCCCTGTGCTCCATCAATATGCTGTAGTTTTCCAGATCCTAGTCATCACTCTAGAATCTTCAAACCAACAGGTACAAAACACAGGTTGATAAATAACAGGGCTTGCATTTCCCCACTGTTTTTCAGTTCACATGACAACTGCATGAAAGAGAGGTACAGAACAGGATGCAGGATATGACTTGAACTGGCTTCCAGGACACCTGCCCCAGAAAGAGGGGAGGGAAATAAAATTAAAATAAAACATTTCCTGCTACTCCTTTCCGCAGCAGAGTTCAGCATGTGGAATCTACTGGCATGGAAGATCAAAGGAGGTATGTCAAACAACAGATGACCACCATCATTTAGCTAACAGCTGACACAATAACAAAAGGGTGAGATTCAGCAACAAGACCTGGGAAAGGATGGCTTGAGATAACACACCTTTCTGCAAACACTCAAGAGATGGCCAAATGTTTTACACCTGCTTTAAAGAGTTTGTTTCCTCTCCTTTCACATTATGGAAACCATTTAAACTTGGGCAGAAAAAGGCCTTCATATAATAGTTGCCACCTTGATCAGCACAGATAATACATTAGACCCCAAAGAAGAGGTCCTATCACTCCAAAGTCTGCAAGACCCCATCACAGAGCTGTATCTAGCACAGATATGCCAGGGTATATGTGTCCTCCATGTAGGGGATCTCAGACATGATGGAGCTCTCCCCTCCCAAGTACTCATAGCAGAGGCTGAGAAAGTTGTATATTACAAAGGCTTCATAGCAGTCCCGCACTGTGCCAAAGTAAACATAGTACTGGTCATTGGTGAAGAACGGGAGACTGAGCCACGAGTCAAAGGCGTAAATGGGCACGATGAAGAGGATCCGAACAATGTAGCGCTGCAATGAAAAGGATGAGAAGTACAAGTGATGGGGTTTTACCTGATGGCAGGTGATGAGCAAAGCTGTCCATACAAAGAAACCTGAGATGGCCTGAGCAGCGGTGGTCATGAGGAATATTGGCTGCTCCACAGCTGTGGGGCTGCCATTCTCTGGCATCCAGGAGAAGTTGGGAGACACAGCTGGAGTGGTGACAGTTGACCCCAATCTGGGGGCTGCAGCGACGTCAGTCATCACTATCATGGTGCCTTTTGGTGTGAGGTTTCAGTTGGGATTGCTAAAGAGTCAGTCACGAGCCAAGACCTGTCAAGGAAGACAACCAAAAAGCAATGGAACCCAGCTGAAAGGACTCTGGATCATAACAGTAACAGTACTTTTCATCTCTCACATGCCTTTCACTAGGCTGCTCACATGCTTTACAAACAGGACCTGGATAAGTCTGCCACTGCCACCCCTCGCAATACAACGTATCATGTGGTACTCAGGAACCTCTCTACCATGCACAACACAGCCTCCCCAAAATCATGGAACACTGCTACCACCACTGTCACCATGCTCCTGCAAGAAAAATATTTTAGGATTAAAACAAATACAGCATTCACCTGAGATAAGATGGCAGTATCTGAACCATCCATACAGAAGATGACAGGCACATCTAAGTCAACAGCTCTACTTTTTACAAAAGCAATTACTATTCTGCTGTGCCCTGAAAAGTTGGAGTCTTAGTCTTCTTCATGGGGAAGGTAGCAGAAGGCAACAAGAACGTGCACCATAAAGTGTCACTGTGCAGCAAGGGGGCAAGAAGTGCATCCTTATTCCTCCATTGAGCAATACCCACCTCTCCTATGGCCATTCTGAAAATGACACTCCACCCAAAGGGCCTTCACTGGAAGAATATGCGCTAAAAGCTCTCCTCACTAGAGCATGAAAGTGATGCTTTTACCAAACACTGTATGGTATGGCACACTTAGCCAGCCTGTCATTAATTCTAACTTAGCATTGTTTTCTACATGACATGGATTTAACCTGATTGGCTTCTAAAAGCCAGCTGACCCATGAAAACACACCCAGAACACAAGGATAGGCAAGACTTTAAAGCAGTATGACCATCGGTCATTTTCCAGAGGAAAAGCTATTTTCTTTCAATAGAACAATTTCTTGGAGGTTCAAGATCTAAAGCAGCTATTATTTTCAGTTTGGTTCTAAGCAGGCTCTAATACGACCTCTGGATTGAAGGAAGATAATCCACTTAAAGATCACAAGCAGGCAGCCATTGGCTCCATCCACTACAAGAGCTGATTCTGATGCAGCTGTGGTAAAGACACTTAGCAAGGGAAACAGCATAATATTGCTTCTGTCTGATAACCTCCTAATAGTTCTGGGGATATACTTTCTGTAAAAGCACAAGATGTAGCTCTTTTGCAGGCCTTTAAGATCAGCAGATGGAAAGGGCTTTACAAAGGTCAACAATTGTCCAGTTTACAGATGCAGCAGGGAAGGACAAGTCTGTAATTTACTGACAGGTTATATCACATATGCACATTATCAGGGAACAGGCTCACAGTAAAAGCTGAGGGCTAGGAGTAAATAATTTCCACATGCACACTGAGGTTCTCAAACGGCCCCTCCAGCACACGCTTTTTCAAACCACACGTTTGCATCAGTGGTGCACAGCACTCTGATGTTATTTATGCCACATTCCACCTCATTTCTACTTTTGTGCACAGAGGCAAGAGAACAAATCCATATCCTGGGAAATATCTGAGTTTGTTTAAGCAGATACTCTCTTACTACAGAAGGAACTGCACAACTACTATGGTTTAATTTACAAAACTGTCAAACTTGGCTTTTCTTAGTTCTTTCCAGTAATTGCCTTTCCAAAATACTCCTGCTCTGAGTTACAGCTTTCCATAACTGCACAGACTGAAGGGCAATTCCTTTCCAGTCCTGGTCAGTATGGGAAATGTAACTGTTAAGTTTTGAGTGCCAAAGCATACATACACACATTATGTTTTCTATACTATGTCTAAAAATTTGGAGGCACAAAGGCTGGATGGAGATTTCACAAGGTAGCAAGGTTTTTTGATGCTTTGAGAAGAAGACATTTTCTACCCAAGTGCCTTCTGAAGTGATCACTCACAGTGCTGAGTGCTCACAAAGGGCACATCTAAAATAAAATCAGAGCAGATGCACCTGTGGTTAACCTAGCTCTAAATAAAATACAGACAGCTGCATTCCTGCATATCCCAGTGGACTTTGGGAGCTATGTGAGAAAGGAAGCTGGTAAGCATTTCCTAAAGTTCATGGGGGAGAGGATCTCAACTGCAGACCACCAGCAGCAGGAGGGAAAAGACCTGGGGCTTCATGCTCCAGTTAATCAAACCACACTGGCAGCACAGGCCCAAATGCAGCACTGGTAACATCAGCAGAGCTGAAGATCTGAAAGGGAATTCCTCTGCTTCTCTACACACGTCATTTTAAAAGAAGCTGAAACAGCAAAAAGCTAGCAACAGTCATTTTGACATGACACGGGTTACACATTCAGAAGTGAGGGCACCTAGAAGTTCAAGTTGTATATGTAACCTTAATACTGCCCCCTTGTGATTATACAGCAACTGTCATTAATTACAGGATTATGTACCATTCTTCACCTAATCCCCTCTAATTCACATAGTCATTGAAACTAATAACTCCTTCCAGCACGGCGTTCTGAAAGAAAATCCATGAGCACCAACCACTCCTCAGAGTTTCTCCTGAGGACAACTTTTTAATCAGCTGATACTTTTTATTGGTTGTAAGCATCAGCTTGCAGTTCATTCTCCTTGCTAGTGAAACATGAAGGGACATTGTTCTCCTGAATCGGCAAAATTAACTTCTACCTTCCAAATTATCCCTTCAAATCTCCTAGCGTCATGCACACCATTGATACAGCGACAGGTGCAAGCACTGCACAAAGCCATTATTAAAGACTACTGTATGGAAGAACCTGAAGCTGGAAGAGCAATTATTTATATTTAAGAACTAGGTAATAGCAGATTTGAGCCTTAACCAGGTGAGTAGATTTCAGCTCACTCACTACCACCAGCTCAGAGCCTGCTAGCTCCTCCTTTGGCTTTGGAAAAAAAGAGCATTGTGAGGGCGAGCTACAGCAACTCTCTTTATAGGCCTTGTCTCTGAGATGCCTCTGTCACACTGCGTAAGGGGACACAAGCCCAGCACATCGTTAGAACAGGCTTCTAGCCAAGGTGGTTCCTGGGAGCACATCACACCAACACATTGCCTTGGCAAACAGCCTGAAGTATCCCTCTTACCTGACGCTGTGAATGTTTTGATGCTTGTTTCTTGGACACCTACCTCCAGCCCTGCCCACCGCCACAACACGTACTGCTTCCACTGCTTCCTTTCGTGACCACGGAAAAAGGTTCTTTCCAACAGCCACAAAGCTCTTTCACATTCACCTCAATTTTCTCCATTCTCCCATTTTGCTGTGCTTGTTTCTTGGACACCTACCTCCAGCCCATGTCAGCGCCACAACACGTACTGCTTCCACTGCTTCCTTTCGTGACCACGGAAAAAGGTTCTTTCCAACAGCCACAAAGCTCTTTCACATTCACCTCAATTTTCTCCATTCTCCCATTTTGCTGCTCTAACAGGGCAACAACCTGACAATGGTTAGACTGCTGGCGGTGATCTCTTTTCTGTGTACTCCTCCCAGCTGCCTTTATTTCTCTGTTGTTTCTTGTGCATTTTAAGCTTCAAGGGACAACTGTCTTTTTGTTCTCTGCCCATACAGTTCCCAGCACTGCGAGGTACCAAACCATGAGGAAGGCACTTGGGAGTACCATATGGCAAATTAGGGGCATTTAGAAACCTTAATTACCAATGCAATACAAACTAAATTAATCTAATGCATAATAAATTTTGAAGACTTCCTTATTCTTCTGCCATATCCTCTTTTCTTTGTCCATCTCTTTGACCTCCACATCATTGCCTCAACTTGAAGGGAGAGGAAAGTTACTTGCACACCCAAGTTTCCCTCTCTGGAGGTCCCTCTTGAAGATATCAAAGGAAAAAATTTCAATACTTCCAGATTTCACTCCTGAAGCTTTTCTCATTTCCAACTGATTACCTTGCTCCCCCCGGAGGTAACCTGTAATAAAGCATGTCCCAAACAGGGCCAGAAGAACAGACAGGCAGGAAAAGCACCAAAACGTTGGAAACATGAGCACAAAACAGCACATCTGGGTAAACACACAGAGCTTTCAGACACAGGCCTAGGTGTACTTCAGGAATGCTGCAGGAACCGTGGATCAGCTGGTACAATTCCTGCATGTGGGCTACACAAACTGCAGGTAATGCTTAGGTCCAGATGAGGTCTATACACAACAATCCCAAACAAGGAAGGCAGAGATGACAACTCCATCCCTAATGAACCATTAGTCTTCCTGCCTAGATGCCATTACAAGTTACACACATTAGAGTAAGACAGAACCTCATGCTGCCAGGGCATTAGCTTAAACACCCGTCTAGTACCAGCTTAAATTTATCCAACAGATCTTCTGAAAGAACCTCAAGAGTATTAGGGTCTGGTCTCAATAAAAAAGAAAATAAAACAAAGCATTTGCTACTTGTATCAAGATACCTATCCTGGTAAAAACCTAGAGACACAAAACACTGTTTACTGAGATTCTACAAGAGGGAAGGGGCTCTGACTCGCATGGGGACCAGTTTCATCACAGACACCATAGCATTGTGTGTAAAGCTAGCAGGGATGTGTCCACAGGGCCTGCATCTACAGAAAAACAGCAGCACCATAATTCCTGATCAGGAGCAGATTGTCATTCCTGTATCTTTTGGAAACAGAGGCCTTCTGTCCCTAACATTACCATGGCAGCTTCTTCCACCAAAAATAAACCCAGAACAGTAAGCAGAGGAGATGTGGCACAAGTGAAAACAAAAAATTTCAGTTTTGGCTTGCATAAAAGCATGGAAAAAGCTACCACCAAGGAGAAGCTATTTCTACATGAAGATAAACAAACAAATACATAAACTCCATTTCTGATGCAACAAAAGCAGTGTAAGAGGAGGTAAGAAACGTTCAAGCTTGGTCCTTCAGTTCCTGGGGGTACTTCTGAACATGCATTCAACCACAAAGTCTAGTAAAGGAGGAGCAGGCTGCCTGCTCTGAGGAAGACCTGCTCTGCTGTGCTGCTGGTGGCAGCAGGCTCGCTCTGCCCCAGTGC